CGAGTCTTTGTGCAAGTCTTTGTGGTAAGGTATACGGTGGTGTACGGTATCTGCTTGAAAATGCCAAAGTTTGCCTGAGCATCCAATAATTACCTTTGCGTTTTTGTAAGATCTTGCTTTGACCCTTTCTTACAACGAAAAGAATGTACACTAAAGAATGTATTTGAAAAAGATTCTGTCATATATATTATTACTTCCCTTTTTCAGGTTCCCTTCCAGAACATTCCGCCACCGTTCAACATGTGATTAGTATGATGTACATTTGGAACTTCTAGCAATTTCTAGCTTTAATTGATCTTTTAGAGTACCATTCTGACCATTTACGTCGTTTACAAACTGATAAACTTGCCAACACAATTTTAGTTACTTGTTCTTTATGTACACAAACTATCAGAATACAATTATAAACACTTTCTACTACATACAGAATTCTTTGCATTTGTTGTACGATTCGAAGTTGTTCGCATTGCCGTCTTGTCCGAAGAAAGTGAAGAGCATACAGTTCTTGTAGTTTTTACTGTAGAAATACCTGGAATAAAAACAGTTTTTTGGTTTTTTGTTTTCTGATATCTTCAAAACTTTCAAAAGGCTTTGTAATACCTCGCTGAGCAAACACAGATATTGAACCTATTACCAAATTCAAAACTTTAAAAAAATAATGGTTTGGCTTTCAAAATTTAGTCGCATCTCTCAATAATAATAAATCTGTCTCAAATTTTATTTTTGTCCCTTCACCCAACTTGAATCGTAATATGCGAAAATGAGGCTGGTCATGCGCAGGTACGTTCGCTGCCTCGAAGCGGTTTAGTTGTCTGCGTATCTTCAATCTACATGTTCTCTCACCTAGTAAGGCCTAAGATCGGTCCGCAAACAACATAAAATGCATCTCATGTTTTGTGTTCTTTTTATTCTAAACTCGAACAAAATGAAAAATTAATGAGTCCGACTGCCTACGCTTCTTTTCTTAAGGAGTTCTAGAAGGGTCAGTAAGGATGAGGGCGGTAACCTTCAAAAATAAACTTGGCCTTAGAAGATACTTTCAATTTCCTTCTTCCTCCCCTTTCCTACCTTAAAACTATTATTCCTTTTTGACAAGAATATCTGCTTTCCGACTACAAATGTCACTGTTCTCATCATGACAGAAACCAATTTTTGATGCTGATCTGCTTGAGAATATGAAACGTGGTTGCCCGGCTATTTACTTCCTACTACCTTTCAACGAAAAACCGGCTATGATATCAGTGTCTATCAATGATCAGAAAAACTTGAATATAACTGACCTTGGTGAATGTGATCCCTTATTGCCAAATTTGCCAGCATCATATTGCAGATTGCAGAGATACTCTGAACAGAGAACAATATCATTGCTGATTGCTCAAGCTTTTGCAAATCTTTCAAAGGAAATCTTCCAGATTTTCTTTTCAAAAAAAATGAAAATTACCTTTCTTCGGGCAGCAGAGTTTACCCTCGCATTGGTAGCCTTTGGGACATTCTTCACAAGATAGCGGTTTGGCAAGCGAAGTGGCGCCAGCGGCAAAAGCGCCAGATTTACAGACGGCTAAAAAATTTTGACAGTTATTAAGAGCCCAATCCTGACCATTCTAGGTGTATATATGTGGCATCTTGTACGACAAAGAGTATGTCTTACCATGCACAGCAGTAGCACTATCTGATTTCACATTTCCGCACTTCTTCTGGCACTCTTCCCGGGTTTTGAATCTGTTTTCGTTACCTCCACAACCCTAAAAGCTTAATAAATCGCCAAAAATTTAATAAATACGCACAAGCCAATTTCCAGTACCTTGTAGTAAAATGGCTGACATCTTTTCGTGTGATCATCGAAGAAAAATCGTTGCCCTCCTTCCTCATCACAACTCATACCCGTGTCCCTGCCTGGAAAAAAACTAGTTCTGTTCGGTATGTTCGTTCTTTCATGAAATTCTTGTGATGTTGTTGTTGTTCCCGTTCAAGAGGTGAATGACTCCGAAACTGGCTCTTACCGTGGGAACACTCCTTTTGAGCAAGGGCAACGGAAACGACAGCGAACAATACGAGCAACATCTGTAATATAAATAGTTATCATAGTCACAAAATTGTTATATAAGATTATAGAATGTGGAGAAGTTAACGATGCGGAGACTGTGCCTTGCAGAGTTTAAATTTTGCATACCACACTGTTTCTTACAAATACTGGAGAAATGATGTCATCGATAATGATTTGCGCCAGGACTTGTATTTTCATAATAAATAAGTGTCAGCGGAATTTATGAACTTTTCGTAATCGGGCGCCAAAATGAGATGCTCTTGAAATTTTTGCTTTTACACTCTACAGTGAAAAATATTTCTGCAAAGGCTTGCTTATTTCTTCGAGAATTTCAATTGTTTTCACTATAC